TTTGCAAATGAATGACGTTTTATTTTATGCATGAGGTAAGTAAACATGCTTATACAGCCTAGCCCTAGAGAGAGTTCGTGCAAGCAACAAGCTTCTTTTGGATATGTAGATGGGGCATATATATAGTAGCCTAGTAGGGCTTAGTGGGCGTGGTAGTGCATGCTTCCTTTTTGCCTTGTTTTTATCTCTTTTTTTATCACTTTGTACTATACTAGTTTGGTGTAGTGGAGTCGAACCTTTTGACCCTCAGCCTCCATTCCATTGGCTTCACATGTCATTCTTTTTATGGGAAAAACTAGAGCATTTCATCCCCTGATTCTAATGCTTTATACCTAGTAACAGACACTTTCTAGATATGGATTTAGTCAAATTGGTTAGAGCGGATGTGCTCCCCACTTTGCATCAGAATTCCAATCTTATTTCTCGTAATTTAGTTTAGATGAAATATATATTTATCTTATGTTAAAGTTTATTGAAAATTAGTCAATGAAGCTACTATATTTTATTTATAAAACGACTATAATGATTTTTGACATAAAATTTCATTTAAGGTTTCGAGGTGTCCAAATTTTGATGTTTATGATATATATTTACATCATATTTCACTAAGGTCCATTACGATTGAGATGTCTATCAATTATTAAAGGGCTCTCTTTTGTTGTTTTTGGTCTCATAATTCAATCATCATCGTGAATTAACCAGGAAAAATTAATTGGTTAATAGATAACTAGAAAGGAGATACTTTTGATCATTAAATTGTCGTAATTTGAATTAAGAAGTGTTCATCATGCTTTGCTTTATTGATTGAACTTGCCATGTTTTGTATCTTTTCAGCTCATCTCTCTCTCTCTCTCTCTCTCTGTCTCTCTCTCTCTCTATATATATATATATATATATATATTTATTTTTATATTTATACACACATATGTTGTTTAGTTAATTAGTGTACTTAGAATTATTGTAGAAGTTTTCAAATATAATGGCTGGCTGTGCAATGTGGGTTTTCCGTCGGATGCACTTACCTCTAGATGCATTCGCCCTTTGTACCTAGCTAGTTCCTTCTATTTTTCTTTATCTCTCTCTCATATGCTTCAGTTAAGGGATTCTTCAAACAAGTTTATTTGAGAGACACCTTTGTACGCCCTATCACATACTGTATTTTAATAATCTAAACCATCTAATTTATAGATATTCTCTCAAAAATCACTTGAATTCGAAACCAATTCAAAAGAAATTTGTAGGAGGACTGTATATATATACCTTATAAGATTGTTTGATAAATAAGATTAATATTGTGTGGAAATTAATTAATGAGTGGGGGGTGGGAAGGCGGTATAGTGATTGACAAGTGTGGAGGTGTGGTGTAGGAATCTGGGAGGTACAAAATCCCACAGGTAGGAGAGAGAGAGAGAGAGAGAGAGAGAGAGAGAATTCTGAAGTAGAATATGGGATTCTTCTGTTTTCGTAGGTAGAGAATTGGATTCTACTTTTTGTCCTAATTTCTATTCCCTTATTATTGGTTTTTGCTCCATATATATACACACACACACACATATTCCTTCACATATGATCTCCACCAAGCTCATCTCTCTCTCTCTCTCTCTCTCTCTCTCTCTCTCTCTCTCTCTCTCTCAATTCCCTTGAGTTGAGTTGAAGCACACATACTTACCTAATAATATTGAATTGAATTCAGCTGCCGCTGAATTTTGGGCTCATCCTTCTTCTCTCTATATCTCTCTCTTAACTAATAAACCACTGTGAGTAGACTTTAAATTTATTCTTATTCTAAATCCCTCATTGTCTCTCTCAATTCTACACTATCATCTCTTACAATTGTTTCCAAATTTTGCTTTCTTATTTGGGTTTTCTCTTATATCTATCCATCAATATATCTATATATAAATATATAAAGATGTTTTGTGTACATGCAAATATCCAAGAAGTTGAGGGTCGATCCCTCATCATCATCATTATCAATTTCGAGCTTTCCTTAATTAACAAGTAACACTAATTACATGCACGTAAGCATCCATCTTCCAATCTTGCTTCACGTGTCCTGGACATGGAATGAGAGTATACTCACTTCATTTTTATTTTCTACCTCCTTTCAAGTTTCTAAAAATAGTTTTGAACATCCGTTCAATAATGCTATAAGTTCGAGGGTAATGAAGAGTTATCTCCTCTCACCCAATTTCTCGTCAGGTACATACTAAGTCTTAAAGTAAACCTTAAATGCATGCAATTACATGTGAACCATACAATTAAGTATATATCAACTTAATATTATGTATGCGGTCAAAATTTACACTTCACTTTTTTTGTTATCACTTGATTGTATTTACAGCGATCGTATTTTCTTCACACATACGATATGAGGGACAAGTAAACTATGAAAAAGTTACAAATTATTTTTGAATCGTTAGAATTAGGGTTATTTTTGGCCGAAAACAGTTTCTTACATACGTCTAATTCAAACAGACCCTTTGCCTTTTGCTTTATTGGACAGAAGATGCTTGTAACTTTGATAGATCAAAATAATACCCAATAGATCACTTCATAATTTTCCAGGTTTCCCTCTCCTTTTTGGTTTGTTGGCTTATTGGTTTATTTAGTCACTACTCACTAGTTGCAGATTTTCTAGTGGTATCACTCTCACATGTCATTCAGTCAACTTTAACTATAATCTCACTTCAGGGGCTCCACCTTCTATAAATTTATATATGATGTCTTTCTTCTTCTTCTTCTTCTTCTTCTTCTTCTTCTTCTTTTAATAATTTGATTTCATTTTGGACACAAGCGGAGAGATTCGAACTTGGATGCAGAGTGGGGAGCACATCCGCTCTAGCCAACTTGGCTAAGCTAGCTAGTTAAGTTGGCAAAATGATGCTCTGGTTGAATAGCACCATTGTTAAATGCAGATGTTTATGATAAGAAAAGCCATCTTGAATTGATGCACCAAAGCACATTAAATTATTTGTAAGCTACAAGAGTTTTATAGAAAATCTGATTTCCTCTATTTCTTATTTTATTTTCTGCCTTTGATCAGCTTGTGCATTTTATTTGTTCGATGTTAACTTGGACGAATTCTTGTAGAGTGCAAATAAATTGATGTATTTTTTTCATCTATCTAAGCAGGCACTGAATAATTGTTAAGTCTTTAGCTTCTCATACTGAGACTCAGATTCAAGATGAACGCATTGGTGGCAACCAACAGAAACTTCAAGTTGGCAGCTCGGCTTTTGGGATTGGACTCCAAGCTTGAGAGAAGTTTACTAATACCATTTAGGGAAATCAAGGTTAATTATAAATATATTATATTTCTAAATGTATAATCTAATCAGACTCGTGTCTCTCTCCACTAGTGATTGATAAAGCTCAGTAACTCAGTTGTTTACTTAGTTTAGGAGTGTGCATCGGTTCGAAACCAATATAATTTGGTCATTTGATTTTTGGTTTTGGAACTATTTGACAGGTTGAGTGCACCATACCAAAAGATGATGGGAGTTTGGCTTCATTTGTTGGGTTCAGGGTTCAACATGACAATGCCAGAGGCCCCATGAAGGGAGGAATTAGATATCACCCAGAGGTACTCTGTAATATTACTAACACTTTTTCTTTTTTCTTTTTGTTCTATTTTGTGTAAGAATATTTATGAATATGTATATAATATGTGTTGTATGGATGGAAAATGAATGTAGGTCGACCCAGATGAGGTGAATGCTCTAGCACAGCTAATGACGTGGAAGACGGCGGTGGCTAACATCCCATACGGTGGTGCTAAAGGAGGGATAGGATGTGATCCAGGGGAGTTGACTGTTTCAGAACTAGAACGGCTCACCAGAGTTTTCACCCAAAAGATACATGATCTTATAGGCATCCACACTGATGTTCCAGCACCAGATATGGGGACGGGTCCACAGGTTCACCATCCCACATTTTCCTTTCCGTATTTTACAAGACTAAATTTTATCAACTTGAATTTCAGACCGACCTTTTTATCAATTTTCCCTTGTCTTTTTTTTTGGGTTTTCGGTGTCTAAAAACAGACCATGGCATGGATCCTAGATGAGTACTCAAAATTTCATGGCTACTCACCTGCCGTAGTGACTGGAAAACCTATTGTGAGTATATATGTTGGTGAACAAGTGCCTACCACATTCTTCTCTTTGCTAAAATCATGATGTTGGCTAATATTGTCTCTTGTGTAAATTAGGATCTCGGTGGATCTCTGGGAAGAGATGCAGCAACGGGAAGAGGAGTGCTTTTCGCAACAGAGGCTTTACTCAATGAGCATGGAAAGAACATCTCCGGACAACGGTTCGTTATCCAGGTGCACTTCTACACAACACTAGGCTCCTAGTCAATTAATCACATCTCTAAACTGAAATAAATTGAAGAATTGAATGGTATATTTGCATCAATCTCAGGGTTTTGGGAATGTGGGCTCCTGGGCTGCCCAACTCATCCATGAGAGTGGTGGCAAAATAGTTGCAGTGAGTGATATCAGTGGAGCCGTAAAGAACAGCAAAGGACTAGACATTCCAAGCCTACTCAACCATGTGAAGGAGAAGAGGGGTGTCAAGGGGTTCCATGGTGGGGACCCAATAGATCCCACCTCAATATTGGTTGAAGACTGTGACATTCTCATTCCAGCAGCCCTGGGAGGTGTCATCAACAGGTACTACTTTAAACTTTAGAAATATTGGAAACATCAAGATTTTTTGCCAGCATGCATGAGGAAAGCTTAGAGCAAGGAAATAACCTAAATGTTGTTCTTGAATGAAGGGAAAATGCAAATGACATAAAAGCCAAGTTTATCATTGAAGCAGCTAATCACCCCACTGACCCCGAGGCCGATGAGGTTAGTGCTAAATCGCCTGATAATTAAAGTTACAGAGGCAGGGAACAGTTAAGCAAGTAATCTTTAGTTCTAATGATGATTATAATCTCTTAAATTGCAGATCTTATCAAAGAAAGGTGTTGTAATTCTTCCCGATATATATGCAAACTCTGGAGGAGTTACTGTTAGTTACTTTGAGTGGGTACAGGTATCATACATATCTTCACATCACTTCTTATTCAACTCTGAACAACATTCTAACTTCAGCAAATATAGTTTTACTAAATTTGGTGGGTTTTGCGGTGCAGAACATCCAAGGTTTCTTGTGGGATGAAGAAAAGGTGAACAATGAGCTGAGGACTTACATGACCAACGGCTTCAAAGATGTGAAGGAGATGTGCAAAACCCACAACTGTGACCTCCGGATGGGAGCCTTCACGCTTGGGGTTAACCGCGTTGCAAGGGCAACTGTCCTCCGAGGGTGGGAAGCCTAACCCTGAGCTGATCGGCACCTGCCACTTTGAATAAATATGAGGAATCTCATGAGGCTCCTCCTATTCATGTTTACCGATGTGGTATTGCTATTGTTGCATGGGAATAACTTGAACAATAGTTTCCTTAATATTTTTGGGTTGCATCAATATGCTTCCGAGTTTTATGAGTTCCGTAAATTTCATTAGTTTCATTTTATTTGGTTACATAAGTTGTAAGGACAAGGTCCTAATCCCTAAGGACCTAAATGTTGTTGTCCTAAATTAGGGTAGACACAACATTGGCTTACATTGATCAATGATGTATTTGTGTGATTCTGTCATTTCAAAACGAGCAGTTGTTTTCTGTTCCTCCTTTAGCATCAAATTGGTGAATAGTAAGAGTCCTAATAACAAACAGCCCAAATTGATTACTCTAAAATCACCCTTTTCAACTGATCCTGAAATTAGATATCAGGAAGATGTGAGAGAGGGAGAGAGATCAAAGAATATTCTAGTATTTGACATTCAGGTCCAGTTTGTATCATTACTTCATTTTTTTTTATTACTAAATTTCAAATAATATACTCATATTACACATCAAAAATAAACTTGGGAACTGGAAAATGCCAAACTATGATATACACTAGTGTATCTCTGATATTATTTAAATTATTAATACTTCAAGGCAAATTTCCTTTTAAGCATAGATACCACAGTTACAATATTTCCAGTTTCAAGGATAATTGAAGCCGAGAAAAAATGAATCCTGCCTAGGGAATCTGAAAAGTACCAAATGTTACTTCAAAACCACAGCAGCATTTCTGAGAGCCAGATATCTTTGGACATATTCATTGGGGAGAGATCTTATGAGCTTGAAGATATCAGCATTGGCATAGCGGAGGCCGGTCCTTGGGTCATAGTAAGGTGCCTGCATGGTGCACAGAAGCAGATCATTCATCAATCTCCACTGAATAGATAACGAAATTGGTAATATGAATAGAAAAGCTTTGGACATTTTAATATTCAATATATTTGTTAACATCAATAGGAATGTGTGTCATAGAAATTCTCCTTAGAACCCTTGATCAGCTCAATAACTATACAGCGAGGAAACATAACAGGCAACATATGAATGCCTGGCTGGAGCTCAACTCAGCCAAGTTTCATCTATTACTAAAAGGATGTGCACAAGTACTAGGAGGTATCCATATCTGCGCAAAAATTTCACAATACCTCATATCCTGTTATATCACAAATTCTCTTGCATGGATGCATAGAGGGCGGTGACTCTATATTAACATCTGCAAGCATGGGACATTTGAAAAAAAAAGAAAAATGAGAACACTTGCCATTAGTATGCTTAAAATACTAAGCTAAAATTATATGGTTTCTACACAAACTAGAAAATTTCTTACGCGCTATTACAGCCATACTAACGGTCACCGTTAATTCAAAATAGCAAAGAGGGATACCATCTTGAGCACTAGATTTTCAGTTTGAATAATGTAAGGGGGTAAAAGTGAAAGCTTGAAGTTAACTATATAAGTATTACTTACAATTGGGTTCATTGGGTGGGTAATTCTGGTAATTCTCGGCCTGAATGATCTGCTTGAGGTGTTTCCAGTGTCTCCCTCTTGATTGGCCTTTTGGGTACTTCTCATACATCTGAATCCGCTTGAAGCTCAAGTGGGTTGGCAACACCAGCTCTGCATGAACCACCTCGGGCTCCATATTTGTACTTGTAAAATCTCTATGCCAAAATTGATACAGAGCAAAATTATTTCCTGACCTCAAAGTTACAGAACCACGTCCACTCCAATCAACAACGGGGCTGAGTTGGATCGATCAACTCCCCGAGTTAACTCGTCAAAGTTAACAAAGCCAATACTTAAAATTAAAGATCTGGAATGTTGTGTTATTCTTGTTTGTTAACAAATAGTATATATATTTTTGGATGATATACGATATAAGACCATAGTTTGTTCGCTAAAATAGTCAATTGAAGCCTTTCAGGCTTGAAGAACAAAGGTCGATAAACATAATTCATTAACTCTATTTTTTTTAATCAATATTGGGGATTTGAAGAAAGTCCCCCCTAATTCAGCTTGTGTAAGATCCACTATGCTTTTTATGCATTCATTGATTCTTTCCTTTTACACTGATGGTATATCCTTGAAATATAAGAAACATAACATTGAGAAATAGTAACATACATCTCGAAAAGAGTATATAAAACCCACACTCAAAATAAATAAAGAGCAAAATAGACAAGTAGTGTAGGAATAACAGTAGTATTAAAACCATACTGATAAAGAGAGCTTTTTTGGTAAAAAGACCCACGAAACAGAAAAACTAAACCTGCATCTCATGCATACACAGAACTATAAGAAATGCGCGAAAGTAAAATGATCGTAAGGGATAAAATGACAAGATCATCTGGTAAGACAAAGAAATCCAAGGTTAAGGGTTACTGGCTACTATTAACAAATGGAAACCTCCATGTTTGCAACTATTGGTTTCGGATTTGCAGCAACAAAGAACCAGAGTATAAAGTCTACTTCAATTTAACAGCTAAACAAAACAAACAAAAAGGAAAATTCGAATGTGATTTAATTTACTTGGAATCCTTGCAGGTTGAAGCCTTAAACAAGAATTTCAAGCAGAAAATCCTGTCGTCGCTAGGCATGGCATACAAAGCTCGACCATACATACCATAAAAAAAAATCTCAACCCATCATGTCATAACAAAACAGCAGTGTGCTCTTATCCTATATCAACTTTTGGTTTGATTAAAAACATGCATGTACAAATATCAATACAATTAGAATAAGCAGTAGGGATTATACTTTCCAGTATACAGAAATGCAATTAGAAAGTAAATAGAATTATAAACTCAACTAATACAGGCTTGATAATAAAACTTCTGCCAAAAAGAAAAAAAAAACTATAATAGCAATATCCATTCACTAAAACTCTGCCACAATGAAAATCTACTCTTTACCTAGGTTCTCATACCTATAATATCTAATTAAAACTGCCCTAACCCAATTCATGAAATCTCAAATACTTTGGTCCCAACAAACTTAGGAATCCATGAAAGCATCAAGATACAACGGTAGAATAAAAAAGGAAGAAATATACTTTTTTCAATTAAAAATCTAGGACCCGTTCTGTATACCTGCGTTGCGATGCTGCAATGATTTTGCTTTGGTTCAGAATCAGAACCCACTTTTGAACCAGCGTGAGGTGGCCGGAAACGTCGACGGCGACGGTGACAGCGGCTGCCGAAACTTCCCGTCTTTCCAGCCGCCAATCCTTGAGTTTTCGAGCTGCGAAAATGAGTAGGCTAAAAAGAGGACGTCGAGAGGAAGATTTTGGGACCGGTCTCGCCTGAAACGGTCCCCGGAGTTGGGAGAAATCGCCAACCAAAGTGGCTGGCCGTTTTGCACGAAGAGAGAAAAGAGAGAGAGAGAGAGAGAGAGAGAGAGAGAGAGAGAGAGTGAGAATCGCGAGAGGAGAGAGAAAGGCAAGGATAGAATCTGATCTGGTGTTTAAAGGGTTAATGACCTAAATGGTCCCCAACTATTGCTCAAATATCATCTTGGTCCATCAACTAAAATTTTCAATTCAAATGTCCTTAAACTTTTTATTTTGTACCAAGATGGTCCATCCGTCAAAGTCTGTGTATTATTCCGTGAAATCGAGGGACAAAATCGTATTTTTAGGTGAGTATCTTCCTGTAAAATGATCACTGCATGTACACTCATCACATACCTATTTCTCCAAATTTATAGCTTGGCGGTTGCGCATTCCGGGGCAAGTGAGGCGAAAATCGCGCTCGCAGCCATCGTAGCCAACCACTTGGTCGTGAACCTCACGCTTGCCGTAGAAGGAGCAATCGAAGCCGCTAGCCAAGTCGGGAACACCAAAACAGAGAGACCGGTTTTGCTTGGATCCGACGACTAAGGAAAATTGCTTGAATAAGGGCATACGGCGTCGTAGGAATTAGAGGGGGGCTGAAGGCAATGGCAGACCCCATGGCAGCCATGAAAATGGGCTTGAAGGTCCTTATTTGTTGGTGATGCAACTTTGAGTTCCCACTAGCTACTCGACGGAAGTCCAGAGGAAGAGAAAGGGTTTTTGTTGGGATCTAATGGACCAAAATCTTTGGAATTCAGCCTCTTTGTGAGGCCATCAAGTCATTGAGGATCTGTTGCTGGTTAAGGACAGGGGAGGGGTTGCATTTTGAAGATGGTCAAGGAAGACTAGATTTAGGTGGGGTGGGTTGTTTTTCTTTTTCTTTTTAGCTTTTTGTTATTTTATTTTTGTATTTATCTGATTTTTTATATATTAATTTTTAAGTCAATCTCAACATTTAAAAAATAAAAAATAAAAATAAAAAAAGAAGAAGAAGAAGAAGAAGCCATGTGGCTGGTGAGTGGACTACAGTTGGTGAGATTTAAAATTTAAAATTTTCTAAGTTTTTTCTAAGTTTTATAATAGTTTTCTAATTTTTAATTATTTAGGAAATATTTTAATTTATATAGACAATTTTACCCTTCAATTTAACAGTAATATTAACAGTTTTTAACGGTGAGACCGTTTTGGTACAAAATAAAATGTTTAAGGACGTTTGAATTGAAAATTTTAGTTGGTGGACCAAAATGATATTTGAGCAATAGTTGGGGGACCATTTAGGTCATTAACCCAATATTTAAATTTTAACTTCGTAATAATTATGGTTGTGCCACTACAATTCCATAGGTCATGACTTCTTCGTTTTAACTCTGAATTGAGCTAGTCGCCTATCTATGGACTCGTATCAATGAGCTCTACGCAACGGTGTTGCTCATTTCCCCAAAATCATTTTGGAATGAAAAGTGACTCCAGTACCCCCTACTCCAAAATGCAAAAATGAAATTTCATAGTTTAAAAAAATTAAATAAAATACTTAGATTAGGTCAGGGTGTTAAACCATCATTCCTCTCTCTCTTTCTCTTCTCCCTCTCTCCTTTTCTTTTGTTAATTTCAATTTGGGAATCTAGTTGTAATTTTAATTTCAATTTTTTTAAGATCTTAAAAATATATTGGAGTTCAATACCAAACAAGTGTTTAGATCTTAAAATCAATATTTAAAAACTCATGTTTTTTAAAAAGAAATTAATGAATTTTGAATTTCTTTTTTTTTTTAGTAGGATACCAAACAAGCCCTAATGTTTTCAATAATATTTTTGGCAGCTAATATTTCTTATATCTTGTAGAGGCTTTTTTTGTTCCAGCAGCTATAGATGGGCCTGAGCTGCTGTAAAGAGCAAATTCGTGGAGTTGCCCTTGTGTCTAAGTTCAAGAATCAGGCCTCAAGAGTGCTTCAAAAGGTTCTTGGAGCCTTAGAAAGTACTTTGGTTTCTTTCGCCATCAAAACAAAGAGCTGCTTTCAAATCAATATTTTGGCTTGGCTTGAGAAGCTTGTGGCATGGGAGCTGAGTATTCATGAGTTTAGCATTAGATTGAGAAAGCTTGGATTTCCCATGAGAAATAGAGGTTCAAAGCAAGGGGAGAGGGAATTTTGGGAAGATGTGTTGAAGGAGGAGAGGAAAAGATGAAGGTGAAAGGATGGGTGGCTTGAGCAAATTTCCAACAACTTGACGAAAGCTTCGTCACGCTCTTTGAGGGTTTTGCCAGAGGAGAAAAAGGAAGGAGATGGGGGAACAAAAATTGAAATTGAAGGCTCCAGCAGAGAGTGAGAATGCTTGCTCGCTTTAGCTATCATGTTTTGCTAGGTAGGAGATGCCTTATTTTATTGGTGCTGGAAGTTCCTTCTTCCCAAGAAACCCTAACTGGTTCTCCCCAAATTTGCCAAGTCTTCTCCTCTATTCCTCTTACCTTCCTTTGATTCAACCCTTTTTTATGAAATCACTTTAATCCAAACACACTGGGACAAGATTTTTTGGAGCTCTAAAGTCTTCCCGCAACTATCTTTGTGGCACCTTCCTATCTCTAGCAACACTCTCTCCTTCTTTCCTTCCTTATTTTCTGGCAAGAGTTGGTAGGGGAAAGAAGTTTGTAAATGTGCTAGTCTGAAGGGTGTTTTTGTCACACCCCAATTATTATTATTATTATTTTTAATTATTTGGGAATGTGAGGTAAAAGAAAAACTAAAACTAAAAATTTAATTACCAAGAAACATGAAGATTGAACGTAAACTTCCATTTAAGTCAAAGTAATTTACATTGTATTATTACAAGCAAAATAACAAGAAAGTAACAAAAGGTATCATATACCATCTATTTTCCTCCCTACCTCGCTAGTATCAAGCCTGCAATAGATTCAACAAGGGGTGAGCATTACATGCTCAGTAGGGGTCCTATGTCTTATGTGATTAGTGAGATTTATAATGTACAATTTATACAATGCATGAATGAACTTCAATTCTACCCAACCCGTTAATCTATATAATAGGGCAAGCAAATCTGCATGTCCCATACCATGCATTTTACCACTGTGATTCCGAATGCCCCATTATATAAACTAACACTCATTCCAATCATCCCATAATTTTCCTTTTGCTAGTCATCTTGTCTACACCATTGATCTCCAAGTCCAAATCACCCATTCGACAATTATACCACCGATTTCTTAATCTACTGTGCACACGGGCTCGCTTGAACTTGGTCCCTACAATGGTTAGACTCAACTACACAAAAGATACTTCCCATTATCCTCTTTTCCATAATTTCTTTATGAACCCAAAAATTCCAACTACCACCGACGACTGTGATTCCGAATGCCCCATTATATAAACTAACACTCATTCCAATCATCCCATAATTTTCCTTTTGCTAGTCATCTTGTCTACACCATTGATCTCCAAGTCCAAATCACCCATTCGACAATTATACCACCGATTTCTTAATCTACTGTGCACACGGGCTCGCTTGAACTTGGTCCCTACAATGGTTAGACTCAACTACACAAAAGATACTTC